TTTTTTAAATAAAACCCAACAGAAAGAACATGAATGCTTATTTATATGATAAATGCTGATACAAACATGGGTAACATGGATGAGAAATCAGGTGACACAGGAAAGCGGTACAAAAAGCAAAGTGTTTTTGGATCTGAATCTGAGTCTGATATGTGTTTATAAAGGGCCATTTCTGAAACACTAAGTTTATCTGACAAAAATTTTAGAAAAACTCTTATGGATACCCAAAAAAACTTTCTAAAGGGACTGAAATAACACAAGGAAAGAAAAAAGATCCAATAATCAGGTTAAAAATTAGTAGATTATTTTATAAGTTATTCTCTATTGGTTATAAATGTGGGGTATTTCTACTAAGTTTTCAATACTAAAACTAAATTTAAATAGAAAAAGAAAGGTAATTTAGAAGTTAACTTTTTTTTTTTAAGATTTATTTATTTATTCATACAGAACTGGGGTATAGGCTAGAGGTGCAGGGGCAGTGAGAGGCTTCACCAGAGACAGACTGTGGAACACAACAGGCAGATCAATGAAGTGCACTGCTGAGGGGAGCAGCGGGCGGGTCAGGAGAGGTCTGCCACGCCATGTGGGTCACCTCTGGGCCGGGATTGAACTCACACTGAAGCAGCTGCGGCCAGCTTGCAGTGCTGTGTCTTAACCTATTGCGCCAACAGGGAGGGCCTAGAAGTTAACTTTTTTTTTCCTAACATGGAACTAGGAATAAAAGAAATGAGAAGGATCAAGAGGCTAAAAGGCAATCTCCTTAAAACACTAGAAAAAGTTTACCAAAAAAATTGTCAAATTTTTTGGTTTTAATGAAAAAGGCTTTAATCCTAAAAAGCCTCCTTATAAAAGAAGGTACACAGGTATTTTAATTCTCTCTCACTATCACACTTCTTACTCATTTCTTTAGAACCCCACACACAAAGATTCTGTTACTCTCCAAAACAGTGACTAGAAAGTCAAGCTTTTAGAAGGAGAAGTTATTCACAGAATCAACTAACATAAAACTTGAAGTAGCCTTCAAGACACCCAATCTTGTTACTGTATGTCTAAAACACCATGTGATATGTATTTGGCTTACTCTTGGAATTACAAGTTTGGGAATCATAAATTCGTCATTAAATGACCACCTTGCCATGACTGACGCAGAATCTCACTTTTATCACTGTACTGAGCTAATAAGGTTAGCAATTTATTCAGTCAAAACTGGGATCAAAATTCCTCCATTCACATTGTTCCTGTTCCTGAATCAAAATTATTAAGTCTGATTGTCTGGGTTATATGTGGAAAAAAAATATATAGAGAAAAGAATTTAAGAAGAATTTGAGCCAAGCTATGATGAATCTTGATGAAGTTTTTGATTCACAATTGATTACAATACCTCTCCTCAAGAACTAAAGTATTCACTCAAAATAGAAAGTTTGTCTCTCCTCCCTACCTGTCACTACTAAAGGCAGAACAAACATGGTTTTAAATTTTGTTTCTAAGCTTCTCCTTAAAGGAGCCTAACTTATCAGAAGACAAATAAGATATATAAAAAAAGTTCATCATCATTTCCCATAAGAGAGGAGATTAAAAACAGTGAGGTATTATCTACTGTATGCCTGTGAAAACAGCACATATTAAAAAACATGTCCAGAAAGTGCTGAGGAGGATAAGGAAAAACAGGAATCCTATTACATGGTTGGTGAAAATGTAAACTGGTGCTACCATTATAGAAAGCAATCTGTATTTACCTTAAAAAACTAAAAATGGACACAACACAACACAGTAAACAATCCCACTTTTGGTCAGCTTTCCAAAGAGTATGAAACTATCAACACAAAGAACTTTATGTTCTACAGTATTCATAGCAGCACTGTTTACAATAGTTAGGACTTAGCAGCACACTAAAATGTCTACCAGTAGACCACTGGTTCAGGACGGTATGGTATAATCACACTATAGAGTAGTAGTCATAAGAAAGGATGTAACAATCATTTTCAACAAAATGGAGGGAGTCTGAGAGATTGTGTGAAGTACAGAACAAGAAAAACAAATACTAGACATTTATATAGCAGATAAATCAATATCATAAAATACTGTTAAAAAGGGCCCTCCCTGGTGGTGCAGCAGGTTAAAGCACAGAACTAAGAAGCTAAAGCCACTTCCACATGAGTTTGATCCCCGTCTGCCCTGGAGGTGACCACATGACGCGGCAGACCTCTCCTGACCCGTCCGCTGCTCCCCTCAGCAGTGGACTTCCTGTGTCAGCCTGTTCTGCTCTCCACTCTGTCTCTGGTGAATCCTCTCACCACCCTTTCACCTCTGGCCTGTACCCCAGTTCTGTATGCATAAATAAATAAATCTTTAAAAAAAAATACTGTTAAAAGCCAGTGGCCATCAATAAACACCATGAGGATTCTGAGGTTAAGAGAAAGACTGAGGAGGACAAGGAGATATGTATGTGTTCTCCTGTAAGAAACGCAAGGTGCACATATAAAACTGCATCTAAAATACACACATTTCAGATATATTTTTAAAAGCCTAAGTCCAACACATACACCATGTATACTGAAAATTCTTTAATATCCTCTAGCAATCCTTGTGAGTTGCTTGAAATACCTCCACGGCTCCTCAGTTTGGGAACTGGTACCTCAAGCACCCCTCTGCCCAAGTCTAATCACTTTGAATACAATCTACATGCTGCACCAAGTGGTCAGCCCAAAATTCTCCAGGACTTCAGGTTTGAAATTTAATAAAAATCTCCACTTGGATAATAACAGTCTCAAATCAGACATGTTTAAATCAAAATCCTGATTTCCAGTGCACTTTCCACCATCACTCTCCCTAAATCATTCTCATTTCAGTAAACAAAAAACCCTTTTTTCCAGTTGAAGTCAAAAAACCTTCAGTTATTCTTGGCCTTTTCCTCCCCCCAACCCTAGCAGCAAATACCACTGGTTCTACCTTACAAATACAGTCAGAATCCAACTACCACTAATCATCTTTTCTACTACTACTACTATGGTTCTAAACCACCATCTTTACTTACCTGTATTATTCCTCTGGTCTCTCAAATCTACTCTAACTCCCCATCTTGTCTACTTGCAAACTCAACAGCCAGAGTAATCCTGTAAGGAAAAAAGGAAGTTCTATCAGATCATTTACTGTGCCACACCCTTCAATGGCTTCCTTCCTCAGATGGACTCTGCACTATTTCTCACTGCCTACTTGTCTCTCTTTGCTTCTAACTAGCCTTCTTGCTCTTTCTCTAACACACAAAGCACAATCCCACTGCAGAGTTTTTATACTTGCTGTTGTACTTCCTCTGCTTCTTCTCTCTAATATTCACCTCTTGGGCTTTATTTCTGCTCAAATGTCATCTTCTAAAAAGGGGCTCTCCACCTATCCTAAAAGTACAATTGCAAAGCTACAACAGCACTAACAAACTTAGTTTTTGTTCACTGCTTCCCAGCTGAAAACACTATGTTAACAAACAGTTCTTATTGATAAAAATCATACCAACAGTTGTAGGAATTCTAAAATGTTCTCAAAATGTCCTCAAAGTTTTTTTTATGAGTTTTTCTATGCTGCACCTCAAATTTTCCTGTTTTTCTTAACACTAAACTTGCACAATTTTTCTGGTCATTAATATCCATAAAGAAAATTACTTGACTAGTCCAAATGAATTATACTTTGATTTTTTAAAAACTCTTCAATTCTATTCATAAACTTAAAAATTAGGTAATCCTCTATACTTACTAGATACTTGAAAACTAGTCCTATTTTTGCCATGTAGATTATATTTAAAGTGATTAGACTTCAGGCATCATATCTCAAAAACTGATCTATTCCTCTCTCCCCATCAACCCTTACCTTAGATCTTAGATATATAAGCACAGTTGTTCTTTTAAGATTTATTTATTTATTTATGCATACAGAACTGGGATACAGGCCAGAGGTGCAGGGGTGGTGAGAAGATCCACCAGAGACACAGTAGGAAGCAGAACAGGCAGGCTGATGAAGTACACTGCTGAGGGGAACAGCAGGTGGGCCAAGAAAGGTCTGCCCAGCCATGTGGTTCACCTCCGGGGCAGGGATCTAAGTGGCTTTTGCTCTCAGTGCTGTGTTTTAACTCTCTGCATCACCAAGGAGGGCCAGATATAAGCACAGTTTTAAGAAAAATCTCTAACATTTAGGTCCTAAATAACAGTGTTCTATAGTAAGAGTAAGAAAAGGCACTTCAAAATCTAACCACAACAAATTTAAACAAAAGACAGCCTATGGCCCCTATCTAGACAGTTTGATTCAAATCTAAAAATCACTTTTTACTATTGCCTCATTTGATTCCCAAGTTTCCCAGACCTTCTCTACCAATTGTGTTTAATATGGATGCAAAGACTTGGGAGAATGAAGGGTTGGGCATGGGATTTAGTAAGTCTTACTAGGAAGCTATTTGATTATTCTCAGGCAGAATGTAAAGCCTATCTGGATTTGTTTTGAATTAATTTGTAATGTGAATGGACTTTATTTCCTTTACAAACTCAGCTGTGTCTTACTCACACTGGAGATGTTTAGGCCCACCTTGGGCAGGCCCAATGCCTTGGGTTCCTTCATCTGAAAACAAATGGACCAACCATCCTGCCCCACTTAAAGAATGAACTGTCTCATGGCTACTTGCTATTACAGTGATGAGGAGCCTATAAACAGATAAGACGCCCCTTTATTGAAAATTAAAAGCTTTCTATAGCTTTGTTTTTTTTTTTTCAATCAGGAATAATATGGGAGGAAAAGTAGTAACTATACAGTGTATTTATAAACATGTAGAGGAGTGTGTTTCTTGTCTTGTGAATAAGGTGCTTAAGTTGTTTAGCTTTCAGGAAAAAAATTAGGGGAATAAGACTGAAGAACAGAAACATGCTGGGCTATATTTTAACATGCAGCACTGTATATCACTGCTGAACCTAGCACTACAGATTTTCCAGAATAGTGGTTCTCAGATTGCTTTTTGGACTGGTCACACACAAAACAAATGTGTTTGTGTATGCATGACCAACAGTCTGAATGGAAAGAAAAAAATTAAAGTAGCTAGGCATCAACCAAGACCAATGTTCTTGAAGCATCAACAGTTCAAAGAAAAGGTACCATATCTTTATAAATTCTTATTAGGACATAATATTCAGTAACTATTCAGATTTTTTAAAAAATTAGCAAACTAGTGATAGACAATAACTTCAGCTTAATAAAAGGAACCTATCAAAACCTATTATAGAAAATAGCATAAACAATGACAAAATATTAGAAACATTCTCATCCTAGACCCAGAAATGAAACAAAGATACCAACCATCATATTCCCCAAAAGATTAAAATATTCAAAGGAAAAACAGAAAAATCTGTCATTTCCAAACTACATCTTATCTGGAGTTTCCAAGCTAAATAATCAAATCAAAAATTATTTGGTACACTATCAAGTTAAACATCAGAGGAAAGACCCAAATATATTAAAAAAAACTACCACATGGGTATATATTCTAAGTGCCCAGCTACTCCTGGGCATATATCAAAAAAAATGGGCCTTGGCACTTAGCTAAGCATTGGGACCAGTTAGAAATGTTCTAAGTTGGCTCAACAAAAGGTCGTGTATACCAACTTTAGGCAGTAGTGAAATATATAAAGCCCTCATCATTTTAAGTCATTTGTGGATATTATCATGATTCCTGTGTTACTATATGACAAGGTGTTTCTGATAACGATAATCCATTTTTTGATAACTCACTAAATATAAAAAGCAAAAAAGTTGTATTAATTAGCCTTGCTCTTACCACTAACTACTGTCTTACTTTTCTTAAGCCACTGCATTTGACAATACTAATCACTCTTGCCTATGTTGTCGGCTTTCCTCAAACGAGCAAAACATCCTCACTGATATCTTGCAAATTACTACTCTTAATGGATTAACTATGTATTTATTTACTATTTTATTTAGAAAAGGGTGATTTACCTGAAAATTTCAAACACAACATGTTAATCAGCAAAGTGCAATTCATAAATTCTCTGTGCATATCCCATTCACTATAAGCAGCTAATTCCAGACCTAAGAGAGTAAGGTCCTGCTTTTTGCTGTGGGTGTCTTTTTAATATGTGCGATTCTCACAGATATGAGATACCTAATTATGGTTTTTAATCTGCATTTCTCTTATTAGGAGTAATTATCAATAGTCTTTCACACGTCTTTTGTCTTCCAAACAGCATATCTGTTGTCTTGTATTTTTTCTTCTGATGAACTGTATCAATTTTTGAAAAACATATCTTGGCAATTAATCCCTTATCAACTATGTACTGTGTAAATACAGTTTCCATTTATAAGGTTGCCTATTTGTACATCTTGTATTTCCTTTTGTTATATAGGAATTTTTTAACTTCAGGTAATTCCAATAGTTTATTAGTTCCCTGGCTAATATGGAATGAGTCTTCTGTATATTTGCGAAGAACACAAATATACTGCTGATATAATGGAATATATCATCAATGTTTACTTTTATGTATTTTATTACTTCAAGTGTTTTATACATTCTTGTCTGTGGTGTTAGTTAGCAAGTAATCAAACTTCATTCTTTTATGTGTGGTTTTCCAATTTTCTCAGCACCACTTTTTTAAAGATTTTTTTATTTATGCATACAAGAACTGGGGTACAGGCCAGAAGTGTGCAGTGAGAGATTTCACCACAGAAAGAGTAGGTTCAGAACAGGCAGGCAGATTGACGGAAATACACTGCTGAGGGGAGCAGCAGGTGGGCCAGGAGAGTTCTGCCACACCATGTGAGTCAACTCCCTCGCTGGGGATCGAACTCATGCTTCAGTGGCTGCAGAGAGCTTCTTAGTGTGCTTTTAACCTGTTGCATTACCAGGAAGGTCTTCTTCACACCATTTATTAAGACTGTCATTTTCCCAATTTATGGCCACAGGTGTTTCATCATTAGATGCTGATATGCAAATGTATTTATTTCTGGGCTTTTGGTTTTGCTTAGTTTATCCACATACCTACTTCTGTAGATATCTACAAACATCTTATTGTTTTTAATACTCTTGCTTTATACTTAAGTGCATATGGGGGTCCATATTCTTCTTCTGAGGGATCATAGCACTTTCTTCTTCTATTTAAGTTGCCAGTCTATGATCTTTCTACCCTGTCCTTAACTAAAGAATAACCATCAATAAATAAAGAAAAACTTGGAGGATTATGACGTTGCCTTGTATGAAATTACAGTTAATAAAAGTCTAACCAACCAATCATTTCAAATCTAACTGGAGTAGAGGGCAATGAATTTAAATAGAAGAGGTTAAAAATAAGACAGTCATGTGATTTGAAGACTCACTAGACAGGAGAGCAGAGCAGATGAGTTGACCGGGTCATCAGATTCACTGACTGAAAGGTAACTGGAATTGATATAGAATCTGGGGAAAGTGGGTACTAATGTTTCAATTCTCAAGACCAAACTACGTGAAACTGCATGGTATGTTTCCTTATTTCCCCATATTTCAATATATAAACAGATCATTCGATTCAAAATTTACTTATAGATACTTACTTCTCCTTTATGGATATCAAAAAGATTATAGAATCAATAGAATTTTTCCCTGACCACCTTTAGACAGGACTTACAAACCTACAATTGATAGTATAAGCCTATGTAAAATACCCTTAAATTGTTGAGATTTTTATCTTTTTAAGAGTTAAATCCCAGACTTTAGGGTACCACCTATCAAGTATCATCTAGGATGCTATTTGTTGATCCTTCCCCAAACAACACAGACTTCTTTAAAGATAAAATCCACAGAAATGAAGAGTACTGGAGATTACAACCACAGATTTTTGCAGATTAGAAAATGGATAAAAGGTAATGGATGCAACCAATAAAATTGAATCCTAAGTTAAGCATCAGGGAACTCTTACCCAAAAAAAAAAAAAAAAAAAAGCTTAGCAGGGATAAAATGCAAAGACTACAACAAATCATTCTGAAATCCAATCCCCAGATCCCCTCTCTCACTCTTTTAGGCAAATGGCCTTCCTTTATACTTTCAAAAAGCTGACTATAATCTAAAGTTAGTTTAAACAGAGGGTTATATGGG